ACTTCACCCACTGTAGTGTGTGTGTGTGTGTGTGTGTACATCTATGACAAATGTCCCATTGTTCTTTAGTCTTGGAGGCCAAATATATGTTTCTGTTTAATATTATTTTTCAGCAGAATGTCCTGATCCTATTACAATGCCCCTGAATCTTTGCCTGAAGAATATTTCTTTAACTAAAGGGGAGTATAGGAATTAACTACATATTATCTAAGAGATACAACTTTTATTTTTTCATAATGTACTGGCTGATTTTGTGTGTCAACTTGACACAAGTTAGAGTCATCAGAGAGGAAGAAGCCCCAGTTGTGGAAATGCTTCCATGAGATCCAATTCTAAGGCATTTTCTCAATTAGTGGTCAGTGGGAGATGGGTGCCCATCTCATTGTGGATGGTGCCATCCCTGGGTTGGTGTTCCTGGGTTCTATAAAAAACACAGGCTGAGCAAGCCATGGGAGCAAGCCAATAATCAGTATCCCTCCATGATCTCTGCATCAGCTCCTGCCTCCAGGTTCCTGCTCTGTTTGAGTTCCTGTCATGATTTCCTTTAATGATGGACTATTATCTGGAAATGTAAGCCAAATAAACCCTTTCCATCTCACCTTGTTCTTTGGTCATGGTGTTTCATCACAGCAATAGAAACCCTAACTAGGGCACATAATAATACTAAGTTCTGAGGCGGTTAAAATCAAACCACTTAGAAGAATTGGATGAAAGAGATAAGAAGGGACTGTTAAAGGTACTTAATTGATAATTTTGCTTATGGTATTTGAAATCACTGATTTAATTGATCCTTTATTAATGCAGTGAATTCATCTACTTAGAGAAGCATCAAATGGACATTATGAAGTGTGTCAATATAGCAATTACTAGACAAAATCTAGTGAAATGTAACACAAATGTTCAATTTTAGTTATCATGCCTCTATTCAGTTTTATTCTTCTAGTGCTAAGTACTTGCAATGGTTATTTGATTGTTTGGTATTTGGCTTATAACACTCTTGTAGGTGGTAATGTAGGTGATAATGTTTCTTAAAAAAGAAACCCCTTTTTTTTGGTTTTTCGAGCTGAAGTCTCCATGTGAAATAAATGGATTAATTTAATTAAGAAATATTTAGGACTGATTAAAAAAAGGAAGTTATATGCAATTATAATCTCAGAGTAAAAGCCATAATTGAAAAATGTTATGTTCTAACATAAGGAATGGAAGAATTTGTAAAGCACCTATCTTCTCTTTCAGTGATTATTTACTATCCTCTTTTTATCTCTTTATCCTCTCTATATAATACTTTTCTCTTTGTCAACTCCACATAATAAAACTGATAATTTCATGTTTGTCAGAGGTGAGATTAAAATAGTGTAGGACTGGCATTATTAGATTATGACCTCAGCTATATGGATGTAAGTATTAACGCAGTGAGTGCGAGTTTTTGTTGGTATATTTCACAGCTAGACCCCCCTCTCATCTTCAGAATTAAAGCTGAATACATGAGACTAGGTAAGATCAATGGATGCCATGGTGTTTTAAAGATGAACTAAAATTTTGGTCATAGACTAGAAATATATCAGAAAACATTTCAAAGATCTGTTTGTGACTAAGAAGAAAAGTTCAGGGAAGATTTCAAAAATCACAAATTCTTCCAACTGATAGGTATGAAGTCAGATCTTCTTCACCTATATCCAGGTCAGAAATATTTATGTCACTATTCTGCAACCACTTTGATGCTGTACTTATACAAATCTTACCATGGTTTTCTGAAATTGATTCGATTGAGGAGTTGAGAAGAGAAACAGTAAATCATACTACCAGATATTTGTGAGAATAAAAAGAATTTCATGATCGATTTTTTTTCTTTTAAACACTGAATTCTTAACCTACCTTTAGAGAAACAATGTGGCTGGTTATTCACTGTTCCAATTGTTCTTATAAAAAGTCTCCGTGAACTTCCATACTGTGTTGAGATAGATTCTTTCATCTTTAGCCTGTTTCACAACCTTGCTGTGATCACTTTCCTTCATCCTCTTTCCTGACCCATCTAATTCAGGATTGGAAAACTGTCTTCTAAAGTAATGCATATCACGATGTGAACTTTTACAATATTCTATAAATACATGATATATGTAACAAACTTATTACATAGCCTTCTATAGAGAAACATGCTGTTAATACTATTGCATATATTCTTATATTCATTGTATGATTTTTCTTTCTTCCATTTTCAAAGAAAAAATGGGATTATAAGATGCATCTGATTTTCATGTTATTAATTTAACCTAACAACAACATTAAGGACAATTTAAACTTCCAAGTATACCAGAAATATCTCTAATATTTTATCAACAGCATTATATTTGTTTCATGGGAGAGGGACTAAGTAGACAAGTGCATATGTACAGCTTACTAATGATGTTTGCTACCTCAAAATTCAATCCTGTGTACAATGTGGAAATAAGAATTACCAGTGAAAATTGGCTCCAATCCAAAGGTCTTATGACTGTATCTTAGGTTTGTGTTGACATTTCTCAGTTTTATCTATCAGACACTGTCTAGTTTCTGGTTTCTAGTACACTGTCAAAATTCTGGTATGATAATTGTCTTCTTCCTTACTATAGCAATAACATGGAGTTTTCCAATCTAAACATTTTTAATTTCAGTTCTTAAAAGATGCTAAGAAAGTAGGCATCAGCCATTTTGAGGCAAAAGATCCAATGGATTTTTAAAATTGTTAACAACAACAAAAAATAACCTCCATCATGTTCAATCTAGATAATTATAGTAGCTTTCCAGTAGACTCCACTCTGTCTTTTACTTATTCCTTTTGTCGTTAGCATTTTATTCCCATGACCTTAAAAATATCTCATCTGTAAATGATAATCAGGCTTTGTAGCATATACCTTACCTGACCCATCGTATTGGTTCCCAGGGAATGAATATGCTTTCATTTAAAATCAACTTTACCCTCCAGTGGTATGATTTACTTTTAAGGTACCAATGATTATATTTAATGTTTTTCATTATAAATAAAATTATAATTTTAATTCATGAGTAAAAAATAATTCTGAGGAAATAACCATGTTTCCTATAATATCTCATTTATTCTAATGGCTAGGAAAAGTTTCCAAAGACCTACTCTTATGGCACTGAGGTTTGAACTGAAATACAGATTACTCACCTGAATGTGTGTGAAAGAGGACTAGGTAGGGTAGGCACAGCATGTGGATGTCAGAGCAGATGATGAGGTGATGTTCTACCTCTATAGATATCATTGTTTTTATGATGTTTCTAGGGATGCTGGTCTTATGAGTACTGAGTATAATACTAATTGTTAGAGTTAGTGGTCCAGAAATACTGAAGCTAAAGTCCTGCTTTATGGTCTAAGTCTGACTTTTCATTCTTCAAGAAGATATCAGCTGTGGACCAATCTGAGCAGTCCAACGGGATCTGCAATATTATCTAGAGAGTTTAACAATGAGGCTAGCTGGCATGTATGACAGTGATCAAGACTCAAAACCATTAATTTAATATCAAGACATTATCTTTTTGTTTAGAGGTCATGATGAATGTCATAGCATTTTTGTAAAAAGCCACTTACCTTTTCTCATGTATCTTTTGTCCCAATAACTTCCTAGTATACTTCCTAGACATTTCTTCTGTTCTTCTCTAAAAGTAATAGATTACCAGCATTTCACAGTACTATGTTCCTAGCACTGAGATATCACATCATATCCTTAGAGTCACTTCTTTACTGGGTGCATTATCCCAATATGTGGCTCAAATCCAACATACTAAACTGAATTGATCACCACTTGTATCTTCTATGCTAATGTATCTACAGTTATTTGTTGCCACAAATTTTGTGTCCAAGACAGAGTTTCAGAGTTCTTTTTTTTTTAGTTTTTTCACCTCCATATAAAGTGGCAAATATGAGTTTTTCATTTTATCTCCCTCTCATTTTTTTTTATTAACTTTATATCTTTCTTGGAGTTCCTTCAATATCATCTGATTCATTTAGTACAACTGAAACCATGGTATCATAGACCACAAAACCAAAATAATTACAGGTACTCTTCTTCAACTCAATTCCATGTACACAAGCTCAACCTTTATTTACTTGTCTGATAGCATTTATATTGCTTGTTCTTATTTCCTCATGTTCTTAATCATTGTTTTTGAATGGTACTTTTACGATGACCACAAATGTGATTAATTCAGCCACATTGGCTTGGAAAGTATTAAGAACTAGTAGATGTGAGAATTTGATGGTACACTGTGGAAAAGGTCATGCCAGGCCTCTACCCACCATTTACTCAAAATTTTAATTTTTAGGAATTCACTTGTACCTATACTTGGACAAGTACAAGGATATATGCATCTAAATACTTATTGCATCAATAATGTCTATCAAAAATACAACATTCCAACCATGTAGTTGGATGACATATAATAAAAACAAATTAGTTATATCTATATGAATTTTTAATAGAAGTGTATACATATCTAGAGTATGGGTAAATCACATAGTCACAGGTATTCTTAGGGATGCATTGAATTTCTCTAAGTGGTTACATATACAAAAAATATTATTATAGTAAACGATGGCCAGAGAACAGGAATTCAGGAGTGGGAGACATTTCACTATATACCTTTCAAAAACATTATTCATGTGTATGTTTGTGTGTCTATGTGAATGTAGGCCATATGTGTTCAAAGTTCCACAGGGGTCAGGAAAGAGTGTCAAATCCCCTGCAGCTGGAGTTAAAGGCAGTTATGAACTTTCACACATGGGTCTGGGAACGGAACTCAGGAAGAGAGAAAGAGATCTTAACTGCTGAGCCATTATCTCCAGGTCCAGTGTTATTTATCTTTTAAACTATAAAAGTTTCTTTTACAAAAGCAAATGTGCATAATGATGTGTGCATAGCTGAAGCCAAACCTCCTCTCCCAGAAAAAATATTGATTTTGATAATACGTTCCTATCAGTACAATTAATAACAAAATGCATATTTAATCATTTTAAAACTTAGTTTAATTACTTATGATGTTGAACACATTTGTATTTTATTTTTCTATGATACATGACATATTCAATAGTTAGCTACATAAAATGATTATCTATGTATTCAATACAAAATTCAACTACACCCACTCTGACCATAACTACTGGCCTTTCATTGCAAATGGCTACCTGGACTGTTTCTTGAAAGTTAAGGAAATGTTAATCCCCCAAATACCTTCCTAATTATCCTGAAAATTTAGGTCAGATTTGATTAGCCATGTAAATCTTTAACATAAATGGTACTAAGGAAAGTAGGTCATAATACAGTACTTTTAAAATAGAAGGTTTTAGTACTAAGCATGGTAGTGATCAGGTTTTTCTGAAGTAAAAAAAATGATTAATAGCTTGAACAATATTATATAATTCTGTAAGAATTATATACATGTTAAAGAATTTTATATATCCATAATGTACAATCAACCAGTACTGAGTTTTCCTACATTCAAATGGAAGACACTCCAAATGGTAATAATCTAAATCTTGAAATACATTTTATAATTTGATTGGAGTTTTAAATGATGGATATTTTCTTAGATCAGCCCAAGAGACATTTTTTAAACATGTTTTCTCAAAATGCCATATACACACAATGTTTAAACGACTTGAACATATTATTGAAATGCTGGTAAAATCAAACTGCTGAATTGAAGTGAACACAATGACTGCATTAGCCTAAGGAAAGAAAATACATAAATCACTCAGGAAGGATAAGATTAAGACTTACTCGACATTTTTGTATGATACAGCAAAAATGTAGTGCTCTGAGAAAAAGTGCCAAAGTCACACCAAGTTTTGATTGCCAAAAGGACATAAGACTCCTCTCTCTCTCTCTCTCTCTCTCTCTCTCTCTCTCTCTCTCTCTCTCTCTCTCTCTCTCTTCCTCCTCCTTCTCCTCCTTCTCCTCCTCTCTCCTTCTTTCTGTTTTCCCTTTCTCTGTGGCTGAGCACAAAAAAGTTGGGCCAAGTCCACCTTGAAGATAAATCACACATAATATTAAAAGTGTGCATGCGCACATCACACACAAGCACAAAAGTGAAGAACCTTAGCCTGAACTGAAAGATAGATAGCCTCACAAGGGCATAGAGGCTTTAGCTCCAGAGGCCTGCATAGTTGCCATGGAGGCCTGAAGGGAGTGGACCTCCACCCACAAAGAGCTTCATCTCCGGCCAGTTGTAGCAGTGAGTGTAGAGTGCGTTGGGGAATTCCTCAGTGCCACCAAAGTAATTCACCCAGAGTTCGTCTTGGTTGAGCCAGCCTCTGCCACAGGTTAGTTTGAGCTTCCTCCCTGTGCGCACAAGAAAAGAGTCTGGACTGGCTGAGGCCCTCTCCTCCAGGAACTTCTGGGCACGGATGTCATAGAAGAGCAGAGAACCATGTCCAGTGCCCACGGTAATGATGTGCTGGTAGAAGCTCAGGGAACGCACACCAGTGCCTCCCTCTCGGGAACACAAAGGCCTGATGTTCTGCTGGCGTTGTCGTGGATCCAGGAATGAAACATGAGACTGGGAACCCACAGCATAGAGGGCCAACTCATCACAGTAGGTGAGACACACGTTCTCCCGGCAGTAGGGCAGCCTTAGGGACAGCAGCCTGGACAGGGAGCTCCGGGCTTTCCATAGGTGGAAGTAGCCGTCCAGAGACACGGCTCCCAGCTCCTGGTTTTTGCCACTGAAAGCAAGGGCTCGTACTTTGCGGTTACCCGGGTTAGTGGTGGCCCTGGGAATGGCCTCCATGTCCCTTGGACGAATGTGTGAATACCGTGGAATCCCTGAATTATTGTGCCAGGGAATGTTGCCACTGAACATGTCGGGATCCACCCGCCAGAGTGCCACTGTGCCGTCGCGGGATCCACTCACAGCCACCGTGTCACTCATCCATGCAATGGCGAAGATCCAGTCCCTGTGGCCATTGCGGTCCCCTAAGCACACAGGGTCTAGAGTGGGCAGCTGGTATACTGCTAGACTGTTGGGGTTTTCACCCCCTGTGGCCAGGAGGGTCTTGGAGGGATTCAGCTGGATAGCGTGGATGCCACAGGTGGGTTGGGCACGGGTTTGCCCAGGCCCTCTGTCCCGCATCAGGGGAATGCGGGTAATCCGGCCGGTCTGGACATCAACCACGAAGAGCGTGTTGCACTTGGTGCCACACACCACCTGCCTGGCATTGAGCCACTGCGACGCGAACACCTTGTTGAGGGGCCCAAGCGTCAGCTGGCGCTCCCTCAGCAGCTCGGGCAGCCTGACGACCCCGTAGCCGCGCAGGTCGCCCTCGAAGCCCGCCAGCCCCGGGTGGCCCTCGGCGCCCAGCGCGCGGCCCTTCAGGTAGTGCACCAGCGAGCGGCGCGCCGCGGGCCGCCGCGGCCTCTTGGCCAGCAGCAAGGGCCCCTCGGTTTGGCCTGCCTCGGCCGTCGCCATCGCCGCTGAGGGGCCTGGCGACGAAGAACTCCCCGCGCCCTCCTCGACCTGAGC